GCACAAATGTGTACAAAATTTATATTTTCGATTTAGTGTCATGTATGTCCAAGACTCACTGGACAGCGAGCCTGAAGTATTTCTTGACCCTAACAAACTGTCTGAAGATGGTACCATAGCACTGGTTGGAAGATCATTCTCTGAAGATGGACAGCTTTTTGCTTATTCCCTATCAAATAAAGGCTCTGACTGGGTCACCATAAAGGTATATTGTAAACTTGTGTAGATGTACAATTACCTAACAGATATAAAATATTGCTGCCTTTCATTTGTGTTGCTCAGAGAACTTGTGGGCTTTATAGTCTGTTTATACCAGTGGAATAAAATATTATAAGATAATTTAAGTACACGTACACTGTACTGTACTTGACTTTTGTGTATGTGTCTTTCTTTTTTTGAGGTGGAGTGGCCTCATGGCTAGTGCACTTGCCTCTGAATTGAGTGGCCTGGGTAAATTTTTTGGTAATTTTGGGAGGGATTTGCATGAGAGTGACCTGTAACCCTGCGATGAACTACATGTACATGTACAATGTAGAATCCAAGCCTGCAAATAATTTTTGTCTATAAGCAGGTCATTTGTCAGGCCAAAGACAAGTTTTGACCTGACGAAAAGCCAGCAAATTTGAATGGCTTAAAAGTAAAATCAATTGAGTGTAAACTTGATACATGTACTAGCAACAGAAAGGGGACCTTTACATTAAGTCAGGTATTATTTTACAGTTGAAAATCAACAAATTTACAAACGTTTGTACCCCTAGTTTGCCTTCACTCACTTACTCGCACATGTATTCCGTATTTTCCTGTATATCAAGTTTCCCAGAAAACCACGGGGAAATATCCTGCTTAGACAGCTTGTCGGTATAAGAACTGACAATAACATTCAGAGACTTGAAATTTGGCTGAAATGAATTCTTCGACTTTTTCTGAAGGCAAGTTTCCCCTAAAAAGTTTCGGGGTCAATTGAAAAAAAATTTGCATAAGTAGATGAAATTCGAATTGGAGGTGGTCGTGACTACAAAGCGTGACTAATTTGTACATTCAAAAACATGTCTGTGAACCACAGACTTATAAAAACCTATAAAGAGCTATAAAACTGATTTTTGATCATACGGACTAGAAAAACATTTGGTTACGTTTTAGAGATTTTAAAGTTTTTGAAAGCGATTGCATTCGGATAAACGAAATGTGAGAATTTGGGCTGTGTATCCAATTTGCATAATATTTCAATCGGGTCAAATTACGACTAAAAATTAATTCCACAACANGGTCAGGGTGTCCGACCAGGCTAAGCTTTTACCCGTCAAAACCCCAAAATTACCAGACAATTGTCCAATGACTGACTGTTATTTGCAGGCTTGAGCATCCCATCTTGGGGCCGGGGGTTAGAAATACCCCTAGTTGCTTCATTCCACTCTAATCAGAGACAAGCACTGGACCGATAGACCACTTGGCTCGTACCCTGTAGGGCTTTGGCTTTACCTGTCATATACCTTACCCACATCTTTTTTTGGTAATTTTGGGAGGGATTTGCATGAGGGTGACCTCACACAGTTTATCCATAGTTTTAGTTTTAGTTTTAGTTTTAGTTACAGCGGTGCAACCCTTTGGAACAGTTTACCCTGTAACATTAGAGAGTTTGGTTCTTTAAATCAATTTAAATGATTTCTCTATCATAAGTTTTAAACACACAGCATTCATGGAAATCAGCTTTATAAGTAGAATATTGTTATAAGTTGATACATGTATAATATTGGGATTAGAATTTTAGGTTTAGTATCTTAGACATTTTATTGGAGTTTATTGTACCTTACCATGTGTAAATAATGATTAAAGATTGAAGATTAAAGATTATCCATGCATGAGATTTCAAAATGCAATGGCTGAGAGTCATGTCTGTTGGAAACAGGAGGTGAAATTAAGATCAATCATTCAGTGTGCTAAATTCTGATGTTAGTGCCGCATGAGTGCAGTCATGCTAAGCAGTAATAAATGGTAAATGTAAATTTTTTTTCTCAGTTTATGCAGGTGGATGGTAAGGTACAATTGTCAGACTCTCTAGAGAATGCAAAGTTTACCAGCATGGCTTGGACACATGACAATAAAGGGTTGTTCTACAATGTAAGTTATTTTATTTTGTGTTAATACAAGCTTGTCATTCATTGAAATGATGAAACATTGGTAAACTAAAGGAATGTTGCACTTCATTTATTTTCTTATTGCGTTTCCATCTCAGTGAAACCAGAGTTCACCTTAGCATCCCTACAACTACAGTGNATAGGGCTTTGGCTTAACCTTTCATATTCATATACCTTACCCACATCTTTTTTTGGTAATTTTGGGAGGGATTTGCATGAGAGTGACCTCATACAGTTTATCCATAGTTTTAGTTTTAGTTTTAGTTTTAGTTACAGCGGTGCAACCCTTTGGAATACATGTAGTTTACCCTGTATCATTAGAGAGTTTGGTTCATTAAATCAATTTAAATGATTTCTCTATCATAAGTTTCACGACATTCATGGAAATCAGGTTTATAAGTAGAATATTGTTGTAAGTTGATATAATATTGGGATTAGAATTTTAGGTTTAGTATCTTAGACATTTTATTGGAGTTTATTGTACCTGATGAATTTCTTACTGGCATGTATAAATAATGATTAAAGATGAAAGATTAATGATTATCCATGGATGAGATTTCAAAATGCAATCGCTGAAAGTCGTTTCTGTTGGAAACAGGAGGTGAAATTAACATCAATCACTCAGTGTGCTAGATTCTGATGTTAGTGCCACATGAGTGCAGTCGTGCGAAGCAGTAATAAATAGTAAATGTTAATTTTTTTTCTCAGTTTATGCAGGTGGATGGTAAGGTACAATTGCCAGACTCTCTAGACAATGCAAAGTTTACCAGCATGGCTTGGACACATGACAATAAAGGGTTGTTCTACAATGTAAGTTCTTTTATTTTGTGTTAATACAAGCTTGCCATTCATTGAAATGATGAAAAATTGGGAAACTAATGGAATGTTGCGCTTTATTTATTTTCTTATTGCGTTTCCATCTCAGTGAAACCAGAGTTCACCTTAGTATCCCTACAACTACAGTGTAGCTGTTGAAACTGACTCTCGTGACAGAAAGAACATGCATGCATGCACTAAACAACACCAGGCTCGCTTTTTGAGCTTGGATAATACAAACTGTAATACATTCTTGAATTATGATAATCATCAGATTTAAACAGTTTAATATACATATACAAGTATAAATAGTGTACTGACCAAAAGAATTGTGGGTTGTCACTTATCCTCAATTGGAAGGCACTACTGCTCCACTGATTATGATGATGCACTTGCATGTATGCATACATGTGCATTGTGTGATGACGACAATGATGTTCTGTGTTCCCAAACAGTTAGTAATGCATGCAATCATATCCCTTCATGCAATAATTGCCTGCTTAGTAGTGTTTTCCAATTAAATGATTATATAAGTATAAGACTAGTAAATTGTACATAATACATTGTATATGTACATGATTGATTTTTTTCTTGTTTCTGTCCAACAGCGTTATCCTACAAATTCTAAAGCAGATGGAACAGAGACTGATCTAAACCTTGATCAGAAGGTGAGTTGTAAAGGAGATCAATAGTGTAAATGCTTGTTGTTAGATTGTACAGTTGAAAGTGCATTCAAGTACAGTACATGTTTGTACTTTAACATCTCTTCCTCTCTCTCCCTCCCTCTGCTTCTTCCCCTCCCCTCCCTCCCTTCCTGGTTCTCTCCCTGGCTCCCTGGCTCCCTGGCTCGCTCCTACCCTCTCCCCATTTTGGGGATCCTTCTCACCTTTTTGATGATCTTGGAGGCATAAATATTGCTGAGTCATCATTCTCATTTGTCCTTTGGGGAATGAACAAGCTTTCTCTGTTCTTGTTGGTCCTTGCCTCCAGTTGTGGTTTAGAGCCTAAACTTACAGTCCTCTTCCAGGTGGATCTGATGGAGTCTCTTTTCTTTTTACTCTCTGATGTCCAATTAATTGATTTAGACTTCCCTTTATTTTATTTGCTTGGGAGGTACTATGGCCTAAAGGTTAGTGTGCAGCTCTAGATCAAGTGATCAGGGCCCTAGTTGGGGATACTGTGTTGTGTTCTTGTGCAAGACACTTTACACCCACAGTGCCTCTCTCCACCCAGGTGTATAAATAGGTACTGGGGAACGTAATGCTGAGGGTAACCTTGGGATGGACTACTAGCATCCCATCCAGGGGGGAGTAGAAATACTCCTCATCACCCCATGCTACAGAAAATGGGATAAGCTCCAGCCTGATGGGCCACTCGGCTTGTATACAGACTTCACCTTTACTTTTATTTTATTTGCTCAAATCATTGTTTTTTTTTTTTTGTGACAGCTTTATTACCATGCACTTGGAACAAGCCAATCAGAAGATGTTCTTTGCTGTGAATTTCCTGACCATCCAAAGTGGTCTATGTAAGTCTTAATTTAAATTCACTTCTTACAAAAATAGTTAAGTAAATGTCATGGCCATCAAACCAGTCTCAAAGACATGTAGTATTGAAAATTTGGTCAATGCCAATTATTGGCTCAGTTTGAAATTTATCAAGGTAAATGCATGTATTTTGTACAAATTTTCTAGGTAATCATCACCCAGCCCTTTATGTCTTAACCCTTTGTTGTGAATGCAGCCACATTTCAACCTGTTGAGTCAGCATAAAACAACAGGAATAAATTGCGTCAGTTCACTGGTTATTAATTAGCTGAATAAAATATATGCTGACCGAGTTATTGGTTTTCTAAACCAGCAGTTCTGTTTTTTTTGCAGAGGAGCTGAAGTGAGTGACTGTGGAAAATATTTGATATTAACTCCTCATGAAGGCTGTGCCCCCGTGAATAGGCTTTTCTACTGTGACCTGGAAAACCACAAGGAGGGAATTAAAGGTGACATTTAATCATTGCTGTAACGTCTTGTGATTGTGAAGAAATAATCAAAGTGGGTGAATGACTTGAATCTTGGAGTACTTGCAGGGCAGTGCTAAACCCAGGGCTGATTGCCCGGAGCAAGGAAATTTGCTCTTGGGCAAGTGAAAATGGAAGTTGGGTGAACCAATGGGCTAGTGAAATTAGCGTCAGTAGTCTTTTTAGTTGATATAAAGACTGAACATTGTGCACCTATTGGGCACGTAATATTTTTAGTGGGGGCAGCTGAAAACTGAAATGTACTGGCCCACTGGGCAACGGCATTTCAAACTTTTTTCACACCCTGACATGTATGGTTTGAAGACAAAATGGCTAAATTTTGTGACCGACAAAATGTACATGCAGTGTTGAGACACGCTGTAGTTTGGTTCTGGTCACTCAGGTTAGAGGTCTAGTCTTGTTTTAAACTGTACTTCCAAGACTACTATTAACCATAACATCACACTTATGACAGACAAGCAGTGAGATTTAACTCTTGTTCTCCGCTTTGTTGGTTAGGTTTACTTCCGTTTGAGAAGGTGGTGGACAACTTTGATGCTGAATATGAGGTGATCTAACGTGGAAATCAATGATTACGATACAAGTTTTAAATGAATTACTTCTTTGTCCTGTTCCCCTATTAAAGGAGCTCAGACACGGTTTGCACATTTTGAAAAGTTTAACCTAAATTTTTCAAATTCGTCGTTTACAATCCGTGTCAATCTTCTCCATCCTTGACCATCCTTGTTCCTTTATAGTTTGTTATTATCTCCTTGATGTTTTTCTATCTTAGTAAACTATTATTTTCAGGTTTCCTTCCATTTAAAGGAGATTTTGTACGTGGCCAAAACAAAAGACAAAACACCGTGACTGAGCTCCTTTAAGATTGAAAGTTTTTTTTTTTTAAACAGTTAGGCATGCTAAGTAAAAACAACCCCTGGTAATCGTTTACATTCAACACAATGTGATTTGCATTTTGTGCAGACGTCTGTTTCATATGGCTCAGTGAATTTTTCATCGTTGACAGCTCATTTACAAGTCCATTTCCATAGCTATGTGTACACAGTACACCGTACTCCAGATGAACCCTTTTGTCTTTATCATGAAATTCTGGCCCAACGTCGTAATACGAGACTAATTCAGTGAGATCTGAAATATGCTGCAGAAGCCAAAATATTATATCTGCCCCTATAGTAAATACTTTCAGATATACCGCTATTAAATGTAAAAAAAAAAATGTAAATGCAAATTTAATGTCAAATACGGGGAGTGTTTGCGCGATCACCCGAGCCAGAGGCTCATGAGGAAGTGCCTAAATCTGTTAAAATTAATAACTAAAATATTCTTAAGTGGAAACTTGTGTCATTAAACACAAACTCCGTCTTTTGTTAGATCGTCTTGGCTACTACGTTGGTGTACTAAGGTAATACACCAAAGTGGCGGACCGACGCACCAGTAGATACCGTGAACATATACATGTACATGTACTAAGTTCTGTTTGCTAATAACTCGGGCTTTGTAAAGTTAAAATTTGGGTCGCTTAGTTATTTCAATCTTCTTTAAAATTTTTGCGTTAAAGAAATGTAAGTACACTACATGTACATTGTATACATGTATGTAATACATATTGTTTGTGTTTTCTATCTCCAGTACATCACAAATGAGGGAACACTCTTCACTTTCAAGACCAACTTAAAAGCTCCAAGATACAGACTAATCAAGATCGACTTTTCAAAACCTGAGATGGTAAGTACATTGAAAATAGAAGTAGAAAATGGTTGGTTACAAAAAACTCTTAAACCTACTTTGTTCGTATGTAGTGGTTTTGTTCAAATTCACGAATTATCGTTTAAATTTCAGAAAAAAAAAACGTTCACGAAAATGTTATTAGTCCTGTAGGGAAATGGAGAAAATTACAGTGCTTCCAAAGATAGGTAGGCAGTGGTATTTGTGATGATAAAAAACAAGTCTTTATCAGCTACCATCACTGTTATTACCACAAGATACATTGTAATGTCCTTGTTTGTTTTGCTGTCTTTTATTTGATCAAAATTATGCGCATCTTCAGGACTGGACTCAGATCAGTAGATTTTCATCGCTTAATTGGCCATTTGAAAGCTGCGTCCGGTCAGTCGTCTCTTGTCTCCCACTTGCCGTTATTTGTGTCGTCACGCAACACCCCTCCCGTTGCATGACGACTTCAGTAGAGGTTGAGTAGGAAACTAACTAAAGCCGTTTTGGTGAGTCGTGTTAATTGCGAGGGCTGTCGAGAAAATTAGTGATAGTTTACATGTAAACACCCATGAATGTTTAATTTATTTCATATGGAAATGCGAAATACGAAAACACTTGATTACTGCTGTTTCCTGGATATCATGTTTAACTTTAAGACATACGCGCACATTGTAAATATTTCTCGTGAGTAGGGGATACACCTTCGGCGTAGTTTACTTGAGAACCGTGTAAATGTTATGATGATTTTGCATTTTAACTACAGGAACATTGGACCTCTCTGGTCCAGGAAGACGAGAAAGATGTTTTAGAATGGGTGGCCTGTGTCAAACAGAACTTGTTGGTGCTCTGTTACCTACATGACGTCAAGGTTAGAAGGCAACAAACCTTTGAGCGTGTAGATCATGTACACTTCCGTATTAAGTATACATATCTTGTCAAATTCATCCCAACGTTTCTGTGTAAAATGTATAAACACTTGTATGGAGAACTTACGTGTTCACATGTGAGCTCAATGATAGGGCTATTGTAACTTAACGTGTTTGTTGGTGTTTACAGAGCGTCCTTCATCTTCACAACTTGACAGGCGAAAGACTCATGACTTTTCCTCTCGATATCGGTAGTATTGTTGGCTATTCAGGGCGAAAGAAGGATTCAGAGGTAGGGAAAGCCCGCGGAAACCTTGCTTGGATAATTACGTAACTGCTGCGTTTCCTGTCACTGCCAAAGCTGTCATCAGTAAACAGTCCCAGGAGTAGCGAGGGGTGCCTTTAACCCAAGGGAAGACGGGGATAAATGTCTACCTTGGGTCTCAAAAAAGCAGGGTTCAAGAAAAAAAGGTGGTGTCGCTAAAATGAGTCATAAGTTATAGCATTTGCCCTAGTGTGCAACTCCTCACGAAATTGACTTGTTAGAGCCGTTGACTAACTCGGTCACCTTGTTTTCTTTGTTCTTTTGACTTGCGCGAATGAGCAATCCCCTCTTCAAGAATTTTACTGCAGTTCTTTCTTCGGGCCGATGTCGACGAGTCACACCATCCCCACCCACTCGCCACTTACAACTGACTGTAGTGTCCATACACAAGCGTTTTTTTTGTTGTTGTTGTTGGCCTCTTGATTTGTCTAACATTAACTTTTTTTTTTCTTTTGTTTTTCTTCAGATCTTCTACCAGTTTACATCGTTTCTAACGCCTGGAATTATCTACCACTGTGACTTAACTCAAGACAATTTTCAACCGAAGGTTTGTGTTTGAACTTGAGTGAATTATAATACATTGCAGTCTGTCATCGTGAGATTCACATACTTTACGGCACCAGAAACCCTCGAGTCTCGTGTAATTAAGTTGTGCACTGCCTGCACAGTCTAGAGAGAATCCTTTCTTAGCTGCGCGTAAATGATCAACTGTTGATTGTGTCGTTGCCATCTTGAAGTTTTTGCACTAACGCAAAATCCAGGGATCTTTTTNAGAAACACGAGTGGAAGTTTAGGAGAACGAGAAATGTTGTGCGGACACGAGGCGTAGGCGAGTGTTTCCACAACTTTTTCGAGTTCTCCCAAACTGTCACGAGTGTTTCTATAACTCGATAGAAACACGGAGAACATGTATTCTATTTCTTTTAGAAAACACCGCGACGAAAAAAAGGAAAACAACTTATTAACTTTGGTTATCAAAATGTAAATTCTGTTTGCTCGCACCATCATTACGTCAACAGCTCGTGCTAGTTCTGTGTTTCTAGCGAGTTTTAGAAACACGATTTTTAACCAATCAGCGCGCGTATTTTGTTATGACTGTTTCCTAAAACTTATTAGATGTTTTGGTGTATAGTATCGCTGTATATTTTGACGAGTTGTGCCGTATTTTGACGAGTCCGTAGGGCGAGTCAAAATACAAACAACGAGCGAAAATATAAAGCGATACTACACACCAAAACTACTAATAAGAGATTTATTATCCAACTGCTGTAGTCAATAAATTTATCACTGAAAGAGGGAGAGTGTGACAGTTTTGCCTGCGCGCGCCGACCTGTACGGCAAACAGGTTTTCTACTGTACAAATAATTGTACTAACAATATCGCTGTATATTTGTACTGTTATTTGGACGGTATTGACTGCAGCTGGATAATAAACGGCGTTATTTGTCCTCATACGTGTGAAGTTTGATAAGCATCTTACCTTTTGTGTCAATCGATTTTGTTTATCAGGGTATTGCGCTAGACGGAAGTCATCCATTGTACTTGTATGGTTATGGAGGATTTAACATCTCGATCACTCCCGCCTTTAGTGTTTCACGAATTGTGTTTATGAGACATCTCGGGGGAATCATCGCTGTGCCAAACTTGAGGGGTGGAGGGTAAGTCCAGCTTTTGTACGCCTGGAGACTTATACTAAATCCTGAAAACGTCCCAACTGCCGGTAGACGCCTCTTCTGTGGACTACAAAATTGGCTCCCTACGATACAATAGTCTTACCCAAACATTACTTGCACAATTGAGTAGCTTTACACGCACTATAAGTTGTGTAAAAAACAAACAAACAAGCAAACAAACAAACAAACAAACAAACAAAAAATACAACAAGGAAAATAATAAGTTGTTAATAAGAGCCCAGAGGTAAAAGGACCTCAAGGAGCCGCAAGGTTTCCATCGACTCACTGCAAGGTTTTGCTACAACGGCGCCCTTTGAATAATGAAATGTGATGATGTGTTCTTGTGTGTGTTGTTGTTGGGACACGTCTCCCAGAAAACGCTGCAAGAAGATTACATGTATTTCACGACGTGAGATAAGTCTCCTTGTACAAACGTAACAATGGGTCCAACCCTGAGAAGAGTCTTCTTGTGTAACCCAATAGAGGATTGATTCCTAGGAGGAGATCCCGTCTGTGCAGTGAGCTTAACTGTCTTTTTCCTTTCCAGTGAATATGGTGAAACATGGCACCAAGCGGGCTGCTTTGGCAACAAACAGAATGTGTTTGATGACTTTCAGTACGCGGCGATATACCTTACCCAACAGAAATACACGTCACCAGAAAAGTACGTTAGTCTACATTATAAAATAACTGAGCTACTACGCACGTTCTCCTTGGTCGATAGGTGTGTTTAGATGAGGGTATGTAAACACGGTTGTGACGTTTTAGATTCGCGCGTATTTTTGAGAACTATTTTATAAAAGCAATAGAGCACTTTTTCCGTGTTTACATAGCCTCATCTAAACACTCCGAGGGTTGGGAGAATTCTCGAAAGTTATCCAAACCCTCGACTACGTCTCGGGTTTTCATAACTGTCTCGAATTTCCCAACCCTCCTCGTGTTTCGATGAGGCTGTGTAAACACGGAAAAAGGTGCTTTATTGCGTAATAATTATACAATGAGCAAAGGGCAACACCTGTTTAGATCATCTTTTAAAGATGGTGCATTTTTTTTGTCTGATTCCGGTTCTCCATACCACAAACTTCCTGCAAAGTAAGCCATCCTGGTACCTTTCTTGAAATGTTTTTCTCACCCTTCGGCTCGCTCCAACCCACAAATCTCTGAGCCACTTTGAGACGCAGGATTTTTTTTAAATTAACTGGCACCACTATCCTCACTTCTTCCCAAAATTGAGTGCGAAAAGGAGTGAAACGGGGACGGAGAAGAGTGTATAATGTTGCAATGTTAGAATATGCGCTACTTGAAAGCATCTCTCGAACGGAGTTTTAAGTTTCTGTGCTCGTTTACTCGACAGGATAACAATCTGCGGTGGATCTAATGGCGGCCTTCTGGTGGGTGCTTGTATCAACCAAAGACCAGATCTGTTTGGCTGTGCCGTTTCACAAGTACCGTAAGTCAGAAATTTGCGTGACATTATTTTGTGTTGCGTGACTACGATGAGTTTTCGCATTATAGAAAATCTCAATTGAATTTATTTGATCGTGTAACATAGAGTTATGGACATGCTGAAGTTTCACAAATTCACCATCGGCCATGCGTGGTAAGTACCTTCTGTCACTTGGTAATAGTGGTTACGTCTATTTTGTAATCTGTGCCTTCAAATGTGCGTTCCCCTTGAGCAAAATGGCAGCTGACTTCGAGCCCAACAGACAATTGTTATAAAGAAAAAAAGAACATAAAATGACTTGATTCAGAATGAAGTATAACGCGAGAAACAGATCAAGTACGAGGTATCCCACCAAAGTCCTGCCGTAACGAAATTGGAATTCTAGTGTAGTAATTATACGGCGGAATTCTCGTTCATATTTTCCCTTCCCTTTGTCATTTTCTTTACATCTTCGATAATTATTGGTTTTTTTTTTTCAAGGACAACAGATTTTGGATCTCCCGATAAGAAGGAGGATTTTGAATGGCTAATTAAGTGAGTTTTAAGGTTTTTGTTTACCTTTCGATCAATGAAGAGACTTACACTCAAGTTGAATGGTTGTGTGCAGACTATAAGCTGGACGTTCTTCGTTGCTTTGTCTTCATAAGCTGGTAGTCTGCGCACGCTGGGCCTTGACGTAAGTGACCTGTCAGTTGTGTGATCTCTCTTTTGGCTCAAGTGTTGCTCAAGAGTATTTGTTTCAAAATGAGGTTTTTGATTTCTACAGGTTCATTTTGCTGCTTTGTTACATAAATTCAGAATTACAAATCGAATACAAGTTTACTGCTTCCGTTTTAAGTATGAAATTGCGCTACCGGTTATTAATGACAGATAGTGAGTAACATAACAGTTTACCCTTGTTAACAAAATGACGGTCGCTTCTTGGTGTTTTCGAAGTGTCTGTGAAGAAGATTTAGATAAAGTTTTGAACAACTAGTAGATTTACACTAAAACAATTAGATTATTCGCTCTCGAACTCTATGCGTGATGGAAATCTCGAGCTCATAATCTAATTGTTTAATTATTAAATTGAGTCTGGAAATTTGAATTGTACAGTAGCTACACCAAACAAGTTACCAGTTTCCCCAACAAAGTACGAACA